TCACTTTGCAAAGAGTGGAATGGTAAAGTGGTTTCATCAAAAATAACATCTCGAGAGGTAAAAAGCCGATGAGAAGACAACTCGTACACACGATATCCTTTCTAAGAAGATGGATATCCGAGGAAAACGCAGGGCCGACCCCGTTCGCTAAACTTGTCCAAATGATGACGGGTATCCTTCGCATAAACAAGGCACCCAAAAGCACGCAAATGTGCATACGTGGGGCGACGGCGAAAAAGGCGTTCATAGAGAGTCTGGTTATCAAGAGAACTATGTGGGAGACGATTAATCAAATAGCCAGCCGTAAGAACGCACTCACCCCAAAATTTCTTAGGGAGATTAGCATGGAACCGAAGCGCTCGAGCTGTATCGAGAATATGTCGATGCTTGCGTTCGACAACTCCGTTTTGTTGAGGAGTGTCGATACAAGAAGTCTGAAGTTTGATCCCCTCATCAAAATAGAAATTAACTAGCTCATGGGATTGAAACTCAGTCCCATTATCAGTTTGAATGACCTTAACAGAAGCCCCAAACTGTCGAGAAGCCTGTCGAATAAACAACTTCAAATACTTGGCTGCTTCGGACTTGAATTTTAGCAAATAAATCCACACACCACGAGTAAAATCATCAACCACTGTGAGAAAATATTGGGCACCACTTAACGAAGGAACTTTGTAATCACCCCACATATCAATGTGAATAAATTAAAAAGGTTTGGTACTACAAATCGAACTAGACGGGAAAGCCAAACGACTGTTTTGCTCGTAAACAAGATGAGCAAAGGTTTTTATGAATCCGACGAGTACTAGGAAATAAGTGCAACAAATCCAACTTCTCAGCCGACGGGTGACCTAAACGGGAATGTCAGAGTTCCACAGAGGCACATCCACGTACTGCATGCGCCATTTCTTGCCGAATCCCATCAAAGAGTCTCAAGTAGTATAATCCATCAGCTTGCGTCCCCGTCCCAATAACCATCTTCAAGTATAAGTCCCGTATAACACAGAAGTCCCGAAGAAAGATCAAGGCGAGAGAAAATTCCCGAGTAAGCTGACTAACAGACAAGAGGTTGCACTTAAATTCCGGAACCAACAGTACTCGTGGTAAAACCATCCCGTAAGACAATCGAACCGCACCAATACTATTTACTGCTACCGTCGAACCATCAGGGACCCGAACCTGTAAACCGGGGTCAACCTGTGGCTCACGTATCATCTTCGGATCGTTGATAACATGTTCGTTATAGCCCGTATCAATTAACCAGTCACCACGGGACATAGAAGGATGCAGAAAAATACCTGTCGCCTTGTTAGCAGGATGCGACGAGGACTTCAGGTCGCCACCAAATAGAGTCTTGAGTTGGTCGAATTGAGAAGCGCTTAAGCCTGGAATCGAACTATCACGGGCATCGACCTGAGTTGCCTGAGGAGAAGGACCCTTTCGACGATCACTTCCTTTCGAGCGACCGCCATGATCTCCACGAGTGGCACCCCGCTCCGGATAGCCAATGAGCTCGTAACAGCTATCCTTGGTATGGCCCCCTTTCTTGCAGTGATTGCAGAAGAATCGAGGCTTGTCGCTAGCGCGACCGGGATCAGTGGGGCGATCAGAAGAGCCGCAGCTAGGGGATTGCGCATCATGAGCATGGAAAGTTGCTGCTTCAATAGTGGGCGCCTAGCTTGTGCAATTTTTCGTTGTTGTTCGTCATTACTGACAAGCTGATACGCTTCAGCGAGAGTCGGCATGGGATGCATGGCCAGAATCTGAGTCTTAATGGTCGAGAAGGCATCCCTCGCAACTACAGTCGGGGGTGGGGGATATAGACTGAATTTCATCCCACAAACCCCTTAACTTGGTATAGAAACTTGACACACTAGCCTTCTCCTGCTGTAACATGGCGATCATACCGCGCAACTCGTAGAGGCGAGAGGCGCTACCTTGCCCAAAGCGGGCTTCAAGAGCAAGCCAGATTTCACGGGCTGTGTTCGCAAAACGAACACTAGACCGAATTTCTTTGGTCATGGTTGTCTTCAAGTGGTGTGCAACGTTTTCACTTACTCATCATTTTTTTTTAATTTTTTTCAATTGGTCACTCTCAATGAAATAGTGGTTGTCAGTAGGGCCGGACCACAGCGGACCAAACCGTTGTTAAGACCGGACCAGACCGAGTAAAATGCGGTCCGGTCCTTAGTCCTCATGAATTTTATAATTACTGAAGAAATGGTGGACCGAGCTCATATTTGGACCGGACCGAACCGGACCAAATGGACCAAATGCAAGAATGGTCCGGTCCTTGGTCCTAACATGTTTTTCACTAATGGACCGCGGTTCTCATGTGTTTGGTCCGGTCCGTACCGAACCGAACCGTTGCACACCCCTAGTTGTCAGAGAAAAAAAAAGTCGCTTACTACATATCCTAGAGGTCAAGACTAGTCACGCATGTGGTTTTACTTCTTTGGCAAAAAGTTATCAATGAGTTCATTAATTCACCAACCAATGTACAAAATTAATGCTTATTGTGACTTTAATATAATTAATTGTTCATAATTTGGCATTCCAATATATCTAATAGACAGTAGTTCAAAAATCTTCATTTTCCGGTTTTGGAAGTTGATGGGTATATGGCAGCTAGGAAATAATATTTATGTTCAAATGGTTACCATGGTTATAACCAAACCAAATAAGGCTAAATTCCATTAACCATGGAATACAATATCCTAACCAAACCGTCCAAACTAATACAACAACCAAATTAACCAAACTAAAGTTTAATCGGTTTGGTTAATTGGTTAACCAGATTAACCAATATAAAATCACATTATCATTGATGATGAAAATTTTCCGGTTAATGCAATAATTCTCAATTTATATAATGAATAAAACATAACAATCAACACGTAGTTATAGTTGACCCTTAACAAACATACATGCAATTAAGACAATTATCTTACGATTAGTATAGAAGTATTCACCTAACAAAAAATTATGACAATGGTATGGGTTAATGAATTGTTGTGTTTGTGTAAATTGACTTAGTCTCTTAGCAATTATCATAGGCTGGAAATGACCTTCCTTTCAAGTTTTCATCCATCATAATGTATGAAATTTATCTAAATTAGGCGTCCATATGTTGTGGTCTACACTTTATATATACAAATATACACTATATAAGCAATATTGAGCTTTATATTTTATATGAATCTAAAAGGGATGAACGTTAACTCTTGAGTTGTTATGCAAAGTACTAAGTATAATATATGCTAGATATATGACTAATTAATTAACTGGTTGATTTGGTTTGACTGGTTAGGAGTGTCTGAAACCAAACAAACCACCTAAACCAAACAAGCTAAAAACTTTACCAAACCAAACCAATTATTCAAATTAACCAAACCAAATTATCCAAATAGTACTGGTTAAAACGGTTACCACGGTAACCAAACCGTTTGAACACCCCTAGGAAATATGATTCATCTGTTTACTCGACTAAAATCAAGGATGAGGGGTTGGGTGGATCTTCGACTTAAATTATCCACTTACTTACTAATCAGCTTGTATAATTATCATTGTTGAGCTTGAAAAAAAAAAAAGGAAGGATGCGTTTTACAAGGAAATCAAAAAGAAGGATTAGAAGCCAGAATCAAGATTGATACCATGAGAAAACTAGGAACCTTGAGAAATGAGTTGATCGCTAGAGGTGGCAATTGGATCGGATTCGTGGATTGGTGGATCCATGGATCCAATAGATTGGTGGATTCATGGATTGGATCAAATGGATTGGTGGATTGATCCATGAATCCAAATGACATCCAAGGCTTGGACCAAAATGTAAAATTTGAAAAGTTTTGGTACTAAAATAGCATAATGAAAAAGTATGTACCAAAATGTAATTTTCCAATGATTTTTTCCTTATTAAAATATAAATTTTAGGTACCAAAATATAAAATATAAAAAATATAGGTACCAAATCGTAATTTGTCATTTGGATCCATGGATTGATACATGAATCCACCAATCCAATTGAATTTGGTTCAAATAGATTGTATTTAAATAGATTAAGTGGATAATTTGGTGGATGGATTAGATTGGATTCATGGATTTGGATCCTAATTGCCACCTCTAGTTGACGCATTTTGTAGCTTATTATTGTCAAAGCTTTTCAAAATATGAGAACATATTGTAGGACACAGCTAATGGTTAAAATTATGATGATATTAAAAAAAGATTTGGACACACTTTACACAAAATTCTAGCTACGCCACTGCCAATAATATTATAGTCCCAACAAATCGTATTACAAATACCAATGCAAGGGGAGTTCTACTATACCCAGGGTGAAATCCGGGGTACCGCATACCTTGAGTATGAAAACACTATCTAAAACTTGAATTGACTGATCTTTCGGACATGATACTATACTCTAACCCTGAAAGATCAAAATATATGCCTTAATTCTCTAAATCTTATACCCCAAGATCAATTTAATTAGAAACAATAATCGACGGTTATGATTCGTCCAAATATAGGCACAAAAATCAATGCACCATCTTAGAATTTATAGTTTATGATTTGGATAATTAGGACCTAGGGTTCACTTATTAAGGGTTAGGGTATAGTATCATGCCCAAAAATCCTACTAATTCGAGGTCTAGATAGCGTTTTCATACTCAAGGTATGCGGTACCCCGGATTTCACCCGGGGCACCATAGAAGGCACCACCAATGCAAACTTCTAGTTCCACTAGTCACTACTATACAAAGTGCCTATAACCCATCGAAAACGAATAAACTCAGCAGAATAACAACGATTGAAAGACATCCACCAGTGAACAAAAGGGGAAGAAGAACATGTCACGTAAGTCTAACTAGCATTGTTTACAAACAAAAAACCCTCGGGCTTTCCCTCCATATCCCGTCCTTTCCCTTCTCAACGTATATCGCCATGGTTCCACGGCCGTGCGGCTTCTACATATATAAATAACCCATCCCCATGCACATTGTTCACATCAGAAAGAAAGAAGAAGTAAAAATGGCGTCAGTATCATTTCTGGTGCGACTTGATCTCATGGTAATGACTATGACCATCTTCTTTGCCACCAGCTACGCTGATCCGAAAGATCAAGTGTGCGGTGCTGGTGGGCAGAACGGCCTTTACAACTTTGCTTGCAGCAACCAAACGCTGCCGCCGTCGCCCAACCTGCAAGCTGACGTGCTGACCTATGCCGAGGATAAGCTGTCCGAGGCGCTTCAATCGTCTTCCTTCGACGCCTGCGAAGAGAGCAGGACTTACCGCATAGGTAACGGCCAAGAGGGAACCGCATTCTTCATGTACGCGGGTTGCGCGCATGGCCTCGATGGTCGTCAGTGCAGGGAGTGCGCGCGGAATGCAAGCCACGTCATTCGCGGCTACTGTCTAGACGCGACCTGGGCTCAGGCAGCGTCGGAGTTATGTTGTGTTCGGTATCAGATGTCCAAGTTCTGTACAGTCGTCGGAACATCGTCGTAACATGGTATCGGAGCGTCTTTGTTCGTCGAAAGATCTTGTGTGTTATCCGAATCTATAATAACAACAGTATCAACCCTTGTCTAACCATTTAGATTACGTTTGAAGGATGGTGTACAAGATGGCACAAAATCTATTGCCCAACTTGACATTATTTGCGTGCATGAAATTCAAATCCCTATCATTCAGGCAACACGACGTTCATCGTGGCTTAAGTAAGCTAATCGAAAATACAAGTAATGCTATAACTCCTGACCAACAATTTTCATAAGCAAAAAAATAAATGCCTATGTCAGTGTTGCCCTACATCGCTTTACTTCGTGCAATCTGTATACTCTGGTAGTAAGCCATTAAACCAGAGATCTGTCACTCTAAACTCACTCAAACACGCTCAAGCCTCGAAACTCATTGATTAGAGAAGAAGAGACCTTGACAGATCAGTTCAAATTAGGAATCCCAGTTTCAACAACGAGGATTTTCTGGGGAGAATTGTCCACGTACTTCACACACAGATATCGATCAATTCCATCCCTTCTATTTACGACCGATTATTGCCAAATGAATACTGAGAATTTCATAGTTTAGCTCTTCAAGGGGAAATCAATCTTACCCAGGACGGCATGTCTTCAGGGCTGCTTTCTATCAATTATTCAGCTCTGGCAGCCTCTGGTGGTGGCAGAGACTGCAGGCACAGGCTCAGGAGATTTGGACGTGCATCCGAGGGCTGGGACGAGCACGGTTACGTGCCTCAACCGTGGGGCAAGGAACACATTGCTCCCAAGTGTCCACTGAACGACCCCAGCAAAGAACTATCATTCCCAGTAGTTCTGTTCCCTCAAGGTTTCACACAGCAGTTGCAGTGCAACTAAAGAAGCTTCCCCTTTGTCTGATTAAAACAATCAACAAACAACCAGGAAATATATTGGTTTAAGACCACAGCTATAATAAGTAGTTTAATTAATGTTTTACAGAAACAATTCATGAACCATCTTCTATTCCAACACTTCTTCTGACCGTCAACATACAAGAAGGTGAAACATGAACGAAGAGAATCATACCCAACTCAAGAGCAGCTATCAAGGAAACATCTCCTGAATCTTCTGCCTCCATATTACTCGATCGGTTATTTGCCCGGAACAGTTTGGATAACATAGAGGAGCTGTAACCCAAAACCCAACACAAAGAATTGAGCAAAGAATCCCTCAAAAAAACAAAAGAATTAACCAAGGAATATTTTTTTAAACCTTTGTGCAAGATAAGAAATTATTTAATTAAAATGCAATGATGAATGGATAAGAAATTATTTAAATTATAATGGCTTCTCTAGCTTTCACACATCAGTTCAAGTGTAGCAGAAGGTCCTCCTTGTCTGTTTAAAACAATCAACCATCCTAGTAAAGGAATGGTTAAGAAGAAATTGATCTGCCCTCTTCTATTCCAACACTTATACTCATCTACGTGTGAAGCCAAATCTCTGCAAACTGACAATTTTTGAACTGATGAGAAAATACTATAAATACAGGTTCCAGCCTTTGATCTCGGCTACACCTAACAGACTCTAACGTCATTGCTCCTGGACTTCAGCTACCATTACTAACCACTTCCTAAATTGACTCTTATTCGAGCCGTAAGCTCTTTAACACGATAGACTCAAACAATAATCAAGAATAAATACTAAAACAAAATTGACCAAGTGACACTAAAACGACACAACTGCATTTTGTTCTCCTTCAGTCTTCAAGTCAATCAAACGACATTGCTTATTCAGATTCTTTCCTGCCATCAACACTTTCTTCCAGCCATATTCAAGGTTCGGTCCTTAACACTACGTATAAAAAGTTGTAAAATGAGCAAAGAGGTGTCGAGTTGAGCTAGAGTCGTACCCAATTTGAGAGCAGCTACTAAGGAAACATGCCCAGCTGCGGCTGCCCAGGAATCCTCCTCCTCAATATTACTTTCTTGGTAATTTGCCCAGAACACTTTGGACAATATGGATAAGCTGTAACCCAAAACACAACACAGAGAAGTGACCGAAAAAGTTTTGTTAGGAGTTTTGGCATATGATAAGAAAATACTAATAAAAATGCGATGATGAATGCGTTGCAGGCTGCAGCACCGTTTCAGGCAAAATGATACCTGAACCCATGGAGGTTTTCTGGAAGTCCAAACTGATGATATCTTCTTCCTCGTTCTCACTGCATCTTTCTGTTGACAACTGAGGACATCGCCAAATGTTTGATGTTTGTAAGGAGGGGAGGTGTTGCACTGCTTGAGGCAAAGATGCTAGCCTCGGACATTCGAAAATAAAAAGCTCTTGAAGGGAAGTGAGGTTGTGCATGCCTTCTTCTGGCAGAGATTCCAAGTCATCAATCCCCTCGAGTTTCAAATGTGTCAACTTGGAGAGTGGAGGGCAAGAATAAGAAGAGGACATATGTTCCTCTGTATCAGGGGCTGCCTTCTTCATTGTCCGGACCAATGCTTGTGAGCTGGTTCTCTGCAGGGACAACTTTTGTTCAACAGTTGGAAAGAGAGGCATGCGAGTCAAGTTTGGGCAGTCGAGTATTTCCAAGTGAGAAAGACAAGGAAAACATGGCCACTCCTCTTCCTCTTTCTCTATATCAATGGCCTTTAGATTAGGACAATTCAGGATGTGGAGCTTCTTCAGAGCTGGGAGTTGATGCAATGATGGGAGATACTCACATCGCCAGCAACCTGCTAATGAAATTTCCGCCAAATTCGTGATGGAAGACAACCAGCTGGAGAGCTTCAAGCCTCCATAATGGTGTATCTCCAACTTCTTTAGATTAGGGTGTGGGCAGAGCTTTTCCAGGATCTCTTCGTCTTTATTAGTAGAAGAATAGTCTCCATTGTCGTCCCGTTCATTCCATTTCAAAATCAAAGACTGAAGACATGACTGTTTCTTCAAGACATAAAGATCCACAGGTACAGCATTAGTCAAGCTTTCAATGGTGAGCTCCCCACGTAAACCAATTAACCCATTCAACTCATCCAGCCCCCCAACCTCTCCACCGGTCCTTGTGCCAACCACAAACTTTTTTAGTGTCTGAAGGGGCGTTAATTCCCCAATCCCCTTAGGCATATGATTACATTTCAGAGAATGATTGAGGTAAAGATGCTTCAAATTAACTAGCTTTCTGATATCTCTAGGTAATTCTGTGAGGTGACTACATAATGAGAGGTCAAGCACATGAATAGTAAGGAGGTTAGTAACCGAATCGGGAAGCTTTGTCATTTGTTGGCAGGAGAAACGAAGAAATCTTAAATGCTTCAACTCACCAATACAATCAAGCAGTTCAGAATCTTGTCTGTTATGACCACGTAGGAGCCACGAGTCTTCTTCCAGAATCAATGGACTCCGCCAATTCAGTAAATTTCTTTCTACTGATAATACCAACACCCGCAAAAATCTGAAGTAGCGGATGATCTTTTTTTATTCTTCTATTGGCGTATGACACATAAATGTTCTCGACTTGGTTGACTCTCGCAAATAACCAGCACCAACTCTAGTTCCCTGCATCACAGCTAAATGACGAGTTATTGAAGAGATATTCTTCAGAGCACTTGAATCTGAAATTTCGAGGATTTTTGCTCCTGTTAATGACGAGGATAAATCATGAACCAAATCATGTATCTTGCAAGTTTCTATATTGCCCAACATATCCATCTTCACCTCATGGAAAAACGACCTCCACCATTTCCTCTGAACCTTCATCTCCCAATTCGATATATCCTTGTGCTATCCAAAGGTGTACTAAAGGTTGAACATACAATTCACAACCCTTTGGAAACAACTTGCAAAAAGTAAAGCAACGTTTCAGATGGGAAGGAAGATGATCGAAACTGAGTCGCAGTGTTGACATGGTAAGATTCTTTTCTTCAGAAATGCTCAACAAATCATTATTTGAAAACAATGACCATTAAGTTTCGGGATGTTTGGAACGTAATAGACCAGCTATTGTACTTACAGCAAGGGGAACTCCACAGCGTTTCCTTAGCACCTCTTTCCCAGTTCTTTCTACATTCAAGTTTTGTGGGACTTTTCCAGGAAGGGCCTTTTCCACAATCAAACTGCTCATCAAGTGATAGGCCTTCCAGGAAATAGGGGGACACCATCATACTACTTCTTGCTCCCAGTTTCAAAATTCTGCAACTGATCTCGGCCACTTCTTTTGACCGAGTGGTTACCAACACTCTGCTGCCAGAGCCACCAACCTTCAAATATTTTCCTAAAGCTTCCCAACTTTCAACGTTTTCCTCCCAAACATCATCCAAAGCTAACAGGAACCTTCTCCCACTAATTTCCTTGTGGAATTACCTATCAGAACATCCAATGCGAGATCTGGTTGGCTTTCACCACTGATGGATTGCAATATCTTCCCCAGAATCCCTTTTATATCGAACTTCTGTGAAACATACACCTACACTCTGATCTCAAATTGTGCCTTCACTTGATCATCGCAATAAACGAGCTGAGTGAGCGTGGTCTTCCCTAATCCGCCTATTCCAACAATAGGGACAACAAAACTGATCTCCTCACAATTGGGATTAGTAGCAGCTGAATGATTCTCCTTTTGTCAACTTCTCTCCCAATAACAATTGTGGGAGGACAAGAATCCGTCTCCCGACACAAAACAAGAGCTTGCTTGGTACGAACTTCCAACTTGAAATTATCCTTATCTTTCGATGTCATATCGAGCTTTTCCCGAATAGCCTTAAGATCACGAGCCATCTTAAGGGTATGAAGCAATTGCTTCGGAAGGGAGGAGACCAGAAATCTTACCACACTCCAACAACTTGCCCATGTTCTTCTCCTGCCATCATCATCTGCAGCATGTTTTGCTCGTGCAGCCTCGATGGAGACATCATCAAGCAGATCATCAGCATCCTACATCGCCTCAGACAGCTTCTCGAGCCAATCTTTGACTTGGTTGCTGTGGACCTGCTTCTCCTCGGCGTCAAGGAGCACGGCCTGGATAGTGGAGACCGGGTCCTTCAGCTTCTCTAGCTCCCCATTGAAGTTCCACAACAGTACAATCTCCACCGATGCCAAGTTGGTTACTTTGCCAAAGACCTGTTTAGCAATAAGGATCAGAAGCACTTGAGTCATTTTGTAGCGAAGCAAAACCCTGGGTTCTCAATGCAGAATGAAAGACTGAAAATCGATTGATTGGTGGTGTAAAACAGATCTAGTTCAAATGTCAACGACTGCCCATCATTGTGATACCCTAATAAATGACCCTCAAGGAAGATAATTCAGAAGATTTGATATGAAATGCTGAGTGGGCGACCATTACTGGATATTTTATTATCATCGTGTGGAAACCTAGGAAAAAATCCATAGATTCTCGCGGCTGCCTAATCATGTGATGAACAGCCAATTAACAATGCCCAAAAGCTAAAATTAGGGGAAGATTAGAGGACATGCTAAATGGGAATAACAATTACCAGATATTAGAAGGTTGCATGATGTCATCTGTCCTCCAACCGGCGATCGCATGGCTCTCATTAGGGCTTTCCTTCCTTCCCCAAATCGAAACCTTTTTTTCCGACGATTCCGGGCGAGCAACGGGAATTTTCGGCGTTGAGAGGGGTAACATAGAAGCGGCCGGGGATAAAGGCCTCACTCCAGGAGCTAGCGGCGTTCATGTCCGAAAATGAAGTCGGAGGGCAGCTGAGTTCGTCCATGGCTCCTTGAGCTCGGCCACTGTATCGGTGGAGGAAGGAGAGATATAAGATTGATGGCGGGAATGGACACGTGAGATTGGTTCTACTTCTATGCAAGTATATCAATCCGGTTTAGTCAATGGCATGGTTCGACTAATAGTGCAATCAATATGAATTAGTAAAATATGAAAACTCATTAAGCATGTATATTTGAATACAATTAGACCAACTATTACATCTCAAACTGAAATATTACATGAAATGCTACATATCAAAATAATGCAGGATTTTCATTCGAAATATCATAGAACCAAAATTATGCATCAAAACGACCCATTCAGGTTAAGTGTTCAAATCTTCACGATCGCTAATATTAACCATTGTCTTAAAGCATATGCTATTGGTGGGCGTGTGCAAACTTCAACTCCAAGAATTGTTGATTTTTGTTTGATGAGGCATGAAAAAAAGTGGTTAAGTACATGTACCATATATAGACTTCTCTCAACAACTCGAGTTATTGACACTACTTGGTTTATAATAATGGGCAACTCAAATTTTCGATTCGGTTGTTCGGTATTTGGGAAGACTGAGTATCGATCAAATTTCAACCAAATTCCAAATCATAGAGTATCTTTGTTTTGGTTTTGACATGTTGATTTCTCGGTTTCATTTGGTTTGGGTTTATCAAACTAGATTTCCACCCCCAATCTTCAGTATTTAATATGAGATTACAATATATGTATATTTACATATTGAGCAAATATTTAAAAATCGCAAGAACTAAGGGTGTGTTTGTTCGATGGATTTAGGTAGCAAATCTTAAGTATCGTGAACTTGGTAAGAATTCATTGTTTGTTTGAAAGTATTGGTGGTGCAAAATTTGTGGGATCCATGGACATGGAGGGTTCAAATTGTGGGATGATGGTATTTATTAGCTTATACCCATCTATTTTTAATTCTCAATTTTCTGTTTAATCCTTAACTTCTTTTTCTCCAAAATCGAATATCAAAACACGAAGCAAGAAAAGTAGTTCTTGGGTCCGATCTCAATTGAGAAAGATAGAGCGAGAATCACCAGATCCTACCATTTCGGCGCCACTATTCACCATTGACATTGCCCCAGTGTCGATGTACATTGTGGGAAAGGAAGGTTGTACGGTATTATGATGAATCGAGACGTGATGACAATTAGAAGGAAACCCCACGAAACAGAGTTTAGCAAAAACGGCGTTATCTAAAGGGCCATAGAACCCTCTAAACATTATAGTTGATTAACCTTTGTTATCGTGATTGGTGAAATTAGAATGAGCAAGAATCAGGCGCAGGCAGTAGGTGAGCTGATTATGTTTGTCATGGGAAGGTACGAGAATATTCGTCCGAATTCGATTTAATTGGTTAGGGTAACACTCGAATCCGAAGGACTTTTAGTAGGTACGGGTAAAATCCGAATCCGAATATTCCGGGTAATGGGTGGCCATAATTTTCTTACTATCTAACTCGAACCCGACCGATTATACACATGCATATGTATTTTGTCTATACATATTAATTTTTTTATCTAATTTATTTTATACTTAGCATATAAATATACTATTTTTATGAAATTGTGTTGTTTTACTAATTTTCTTCATTATAGTGAATTATTCCTGTACTTTTCGTCTTACGAATGTGAGTATGAGTACTGGTAAAACACAAACTACTTTGGGTAACCGTGGATACCCAAAACCCGAACGAGTATGGGCATGGTTTGGATTTTCTATCCATTTCTTATGTGGGTATGGGTACGGATAAAATACGAACTACTTTGGTTAGGGTAACGGATATGCACTATCCGCCCTCGACCCGACCCGTTGTCATTCCTATCATGGGGTTAGTTAAAAAATAAAAGGAGTAATAAGGTCAATTGGTTTCGTACTCACAAATCTAATCCAGCAAAATCCACCATAAAATCCAACAAGCAAACACTGGTTTGGTTCAAATCCATAATGAACCAATTCCATTATAAATCCATGGTTTCATAAAACACAAGATTTGTCCAAAACTTTCCTTTTTAAAATCCATCAAGCAAACAACTCATAAGTTATCATTCCCCTACTTCAAAACTCAGGTTTGATCCAGCTTCAAATGTAAGTCCCTGTTATATATATATTGGTTTCTATCGTATGTTGGGTAAAATTTAGGGCACGACATACCTTGAGTAAGAAACTGATATCAAGATCTCAAATTAATCTTAATTTTGGGCATGATACTATACCCTAACCCTTGATGAGTGAACCTTAGTTCTTAGTTCTCTAAATCATAGAGCCTAACCCCTAAGATTGTGCATGTAATTTGTTGCATATATTTTGACGAATCATAACCGTCTATTTTTGTTTATAATTAAATTGATCTTAGTGTATGGGATTTTTAGAATTAAGACCTAAATTTTAATCTTTATGGGTTTAGGAATAATACAATATGCCAAATTTAGGTCAATTCAGGGTCTAGATATAATTTTTTACTCAAGGTATGTCATACCCTCAATTTTACACAATGTACAATAGAATCACTCATATATATATACTAGCTAGTTATGAAAACCGGTAACAACTAGTACAATGAGTATTTGATAGAAGGCTTTGTAATTGACCTTTGTAATAATTGCCCGGGTAACATAACTCTTCTGCTTTAAGTGACTTCTGACTTAGCTAGTGACACAAGTCTCTGGGTTTGCCGGAAATACAAACAAATAGCACGATAAGGAAAGTATAGAGATGCAGGCAGGAGAAGGCACACAAGATTTTTAACGTGATTCACGAAAGCTGGTTACTCCACGTCACAGAATCAGTACCCTCGGTTCTATGAGACTCTGTTATTGATTTTCTTCTATCAAACAAGAAAGATGTAAAATCCAAATAAAACGAACTAAAAAACTAAAACCCAATTAAAAAGCTATTTACGACCAAAAAAAAAGGAAGAGCCTTTAAATAGAGCCACTGAATTGACCGTTGCTTTTAAATTCGTCCCCAAAATGGTAGGTCCATGTCGATGGTGATTTGAATGATTTGGGAACTTCTTGATTTGTAACCTTTAGCTGAAATTAAGCAATTTTGATTTGGAAACCTTCCAACAATCTCCTTTTAAATGAGGGATTGTCGATTGCCTACAAAAGAAACACATTATATCTTTCCACACAACAGCTAGTTAACCAAATCAAAACAAATTGCCAAAATTTGATATTCAAGTAAATAGTACAAAGAAAAAGGAAAAACAAACTATAAGTGTTGTTTGCAAAGAACAAGTTAGGGGAACAACACAACCCAAGAATTTTCAGTCAACAAAAAGAAACACTCAAAGATCCCCTTAAGCAAAATAACAAAAATAGAGATTCACATCTCCTCGTATGATAGGCAGCTTCGTCTGCCGAGGCAGCTCCATAAATCGCTTGAAGAGAAGCCACGAAGAGGTCAAGTTTAGGACCGTGGTCTGAGCCGTCATCAGACTCATCATTTGAATTGTTATCGCTACTGATCCAGAGCACATCATCGTCCTCCCCCTTTGATTGCAATCTCCAAAGAATCCATGATATCATCACCAGTAGGGAACATGGAAGGAGTAGTGCGGAATAAGGTGATTTCTAGGAAGATGAGCCAATAGGGTGGTGATGAGTGGCCCAAAAGTAAGAAGAGCAATTAATTGGACGTCACCGAAAGGGAGGAGGGATTCAAGACCATATGGAAGAGTCAAGAGGCACCTGATGCACAACGTGAGAGAGCACCAAGAGGTCTAAAGAAAGGATGAAGTTGAGGAAGTTGGAGGGCAACAAAAAGATATGGTTGATGTAAAAAATTAAAAACTTGAAGCAAAGGCATCAGAGCAGCAATGATAGGAAGAGTTTGAATGAGGGCTGGAAACTTATCAGGAAGGGAATGAAACTCTTCAGGGATATTAAAATTATACAGGCTTAACTTGGAGGCATCTGCTAGAGTTTATCCTAAGCCAGGGATATTCGAAAGGCGTCGGAAATCTTCCACATGAATGGTAAACATGTGACGAAAAACAATGGAGGTGAAAGAGAGGGTGTGAAGACCAGTAGAACGAAAATAAGAAAAAGAATTGAATAGCCTCAGGACAAATGATAGAGGGAAAATGATTATCTAGAAGGAAATCTTATCCTAAGTTACGAATATCAAGGCTTAATTCCACAAGATCATGAATAGAGTCATGATAGGTCGGAAGAATGTGACAATCAATAAAGAACAAGGTGTGATGATGGGAGTTGGAAGAAATAGGATCTAGAAAAGGGTTTCAATAAAGATATTAGCAAAAACTATGGTAGACAAAAGACTAAAATGAGAGTAAGAAGATGGATGAAGAGTAAGTAGAGGAGAACGACAAGCTCTGATTCCAATTGTCAATTATTTTTGAAGGAAATTAGGCTTTTCAGAATAAGAGAGAAGAGGGGGAAATGGTTTTGAAAGGAAGAAGACGAAGATAAAAGAGATTTCGTCTTCTTTGCTTCTGGTTTAGAAACAAAAAATCTATGGGTCAAAAGAAATAAAAGAAAGTTGGCCCAAAACAAAACTTAAAAATGACATAACAAGATTTTTCTTTCTAGCAAAATCAAAAGAAAGAAATCAGACTTTGCCTGGTAGCAGAAGTCTTCTACTTTGAGCGACTTCTGAATTAGAGACACAAGCCTTTGGTTTTTCCAAAAACACAAACAAAATCAAAGCACGCTAAGAAAAATAAAGAGATGCAGGAAGAAAGGAGAAGGGACACAATATTTTTAACGTGGTTCACCATAGCCAGTTACTCCACTTCCAAAAATCAGTACCCATTAATTTTAGAAGACTACTTTTTAATACTTTACTTTTATCTTATAAGAAAGTTTTAAAATCCAAATAAAACAAACAACGAAGAAGTGGCGGCAGGAGGAAGGCGGTTGAGGTGAGAAGAGTTGACGAGATGGATGGAAGAAGAAGAAAAAGAAGAAGAAGAAGAAGATGTTCTACTTCAGTTATCTGCCTGTAGTATATTTGTGTACTGTTGATGCTACAATAACTGCATGTTTTGGTAAAGCATTAAACTATTGGCTGTTGGTTTTGTTCCAATGCATGTCTCTAGAAATTTGCTTTCACAATCTGGAACTTTATATTTCTTACAAGATGAACTGTTTACTGCCACAGCCTTG